GCTGTAGTTTGATGCATCAGTGCTTGCTCCATGTAGTTGAGGCATCAGTGCTTGCTCTGTAGTTGAGTGCTCAGTGCTTCTCCTGTAGTGATGCATCAGTGCTTTGCTCTTGTAAGTTGATGCATCAGTGCTTTGCTCCGGTGGTTGATGCATCAGCGGCTTGCTCTTGTAGTTGATGCTCAGCTGCTTGCCCGGCTGTGTTGTGAGTGCATCAGTGCTTGCTCTTGTTTAGTTGATGCTCAGTGCTTGCTGCTGTAGTTGCATGCATCCAGTGCTTGCTGCCCTGTAGTTTGATGCCATAGTGCTTGCTCCGGTAGTGATGCAGCAGTGCTTGCTCTGGTACAGAAGTTGATGCATCGTGCTTGCCTCCTGTAGTGATTGAATCAGTGCCTTCCCTGTAGTTGATGCATCAGTGCTGCTTGCTCGTGTAGTTGATGCCATCAGTGCGTGCGCCTCCTGTAGTTGATCGCATCAGTGCTGCTCTGGTAGTTGTTGATGCATCAGGCTTGCTGCTGTAGTTGATGCATCAGTGCTTGCTGCTGTAGTTGATGCATCAGTGCTTGCTCCTGTAGTTGATGCATCAGTGCTTGCTGCTGGTACAGAAGTTGATGCATCAGTGCTTGCTCCTGGTCAGTTGATGCATCAGTGCTTGCTGCTGTTGGTTGAGCATCAGTGTGCGTCCTGTAGTTGATACATCAGTGCTCCTGCGTCCTGAGTTGTGCATCAGTGCTTGCTCCTGTAGTTTGATGCATCAGGTGCTTGCTCCTGTAGTTGAGCATTCAGTGCCGTGTCCTGAGTTGATGCATCACGGCTGCGTGCTCCTGTAGTTGCATGATCAGTGCTATGCTGCTGAGTTGATGCATCAGTGCTTGCCTCCTGGGAGTTGTGATGGCATCAGTGCTTGCTCCTCTAGTTGATGCCATCAGGTGCTTGCTCCTTGTAGGGTGATGCATCAGTCGTGCCTCCTGTTAGTTGAATGCTCAGTGCTTGCTCCTGTAGTTGATGATCAGTGCTTGCTCTTGGGTAGTTGATGCATCAGTGCTTTGGCCTGCTGTAGTTGATGCCTCCGTGCTGTCCTGTGTCTGATGCATCAGTGCTGTCTCCTGTGTTGATGCATCAGTGCTTTGCTCCTGTGGTGTGATGCATCAGTGCTTGCTCCTGTAGTGATGCATCGGAGTCTATCGTTGCTTTTCAGTTGCATTCACCTTGAGTTTGTTGCTGTAGTGTTTAATGCTTCATTTCATTTCAAACCGCGATGAGCATGAGGACTCTGTGCGAAGAAGTGCTTACGTTAAACTCATTTCACGGCCGTGACAATCAAGCTCTCTCTCTCTTCCCCCTTCTCTACTTCTCTCTAATGTTATTTTCTCTCTCTCTCCAGGATAAGTGGCGTTGCAGCGAGTGTCACATCCTCAACCGACCAGGAATACGTTTCTGCGAACGCTGCTGGAAACTGCGACGTGATTGGCTGCCGGAGCGGCGGCGCATTCGTATGCGACGTCACCACTTCTGTCGAGCGGCGTCTGCTCCCGTCGACCAGGATCTATCAAGCGGCGGCAGCAGCAGCGCCTGCGGGGAGCTGGAAGAGAGGCGGCGACGACGACAGGCGTGCGGTGGCGCCCCCGGTGGCATGTGGCAGGGGACAAGGAGTCGCAGCATGGATGACGGCAGTATTGCTGGCAGCTGGGGCATCAGCGTTGTCAGAAATCGTGGTGGGGAAGACATGTTAGTATCAGCAACACCAACAACAGTAGCAGCGACAGCAGCAGCAGCAACGACAGTAGCAGCACCAGCAGCAGCAACAAGAACAACAACAACAACAACAGTAGCAATACCAGCAGCAGCAGCAGCAACAACAGTGCCAGCAGCAACAGCAGCAGCAGCAATACCACTAGAAGAAGTGCCAAATGTAAGAGCAGTAGTGCCACCAACAGCAGCAGCAGTTATGCCGCAACCACGATCAGCAGCAGTACAAGCGGAAGGGGCAGCAGCAGTATCAGTCTTTCCATCACCACCACCACTAGCAACATCAGTAGCAGTGCCTCCATCGCCGCCGCCACCACCACCACTAGCATCAGCAGCAGTAGCACTAGAAGCAACAACTGCAGCAGTAGTATCAGTCCTTCCATCACCACCACCGCCACCGCTAGTAGCAGCAGCAACAGCAGCATCAACATCACCACTGCCGCCACTGCTAGTAGCAGCAGCAGTAACAGCATCAACATCACCACCACCGCCACTGCTTGTAGCAGCAGCAACAGCAGCATCAACATCCCCACCGCTGCCACCGCTAGTACCTACAGCAGCAGCAGCAGCAGCAGCATCAACAACATCACCACCGCTGCCACCGCTAGTACCTACAGCAGCAGCAGCAGCAGCAGCATCAACAACATCACCACCGCTGCCATCGCTAGTAGCAGCAGCATCAACATCAGCATCAGCAGACCCCGCTCTCATCGCATGCAGCAGCAGCAGCATCAGTAGTTCTCAGCCTTGCAGCAGTCAGCTCCTGGATAGCCCTTCACAGCTGAGCAGCTCATGCCACGTAGAGAGCTTAGACCCGGAGCTAGGGGAAGCTTCTGGCACCTCCCTGCCGTGCCTCATCTGCCTCTCTCGGCCGAAGAACGCCAGCATCATCCACGGTCACACCGGCCACCAGGTGGCGTGCTACAAGTGCGCGAAGAAGTTGCGTAGGCGTGGCAGGCCTTGTCCCGTGTGTCGCCGACCGATACAGAAGGTCATCAAAAATTTTGTCATCTGATGACAACGTCGCCCCCTGGTGAAGTCCGTGGTTTGTCGTTATTCGTTTGTGCGTGGGAAAACACTCAGCTCTCAATATAGATATGTTATGTAAGATTATGAGTGTCTTGTTTCGATTATCATAATATCGTATATTTATTGGGTGAAACATATTATTACAACTATTTCTATCGTGATATGCTCTGTAGATACAGACTTGAGGTGGAATCTTGTAACTATTTGTATGAATACGGAGCCATCTGGTGAGTGAAACTACATTTTGCTCAGTTAACACTGTACAAACCAATCAAAAACAAATGTTAAATTGAGAAAGAAACATCACTTATTCGGCTACATCTACATGGTACAGGCTATCTGGGAGAAACATGACTATATATATATATATAGTCAGGAGCTTATAAAAGGAATTATCCTTTTATAAGCTCCTGATATAGTATGATTTTATATTTATCTTGTGTTAAATCCAAGAAATTAACTTACTATCAAAATTTGGGAGGCACTGACCAATAATTGAATATTTCACCCTGAAATATAATTAAAATCCCATAAATTTCATAGGTTGTGTGTTCCGTCACACACAAAAATGTCGAAACTTGTAATGCACCATAACATGACCATAAGTATACATATATGAACGTAAGGATTCCCTTAGGGCTTGTGAATAGAAAATTTCGCCAATGGTTGAAAACGTACATATCAAAGTGTTTCGTGTTACATCGCCAGGGGAATTTCTTTCATTCATGAACTATTTTCTCTTCTCTTTAGTGTCAGGCAGCGAGTAAGCTCTAACCAACCATGCGCAAACATACATGTGTATATCCAGCTGTGAGAAATTTCATACATACACACAAAAATGTGTAAAATCACAACTAGTGAAACTATGTTTACTAAGTACAAAATACGTATATGCCATCAGCTTACTATGCAACGATTTTTACAATATAAATGAAACTGATGTGTCTGTGTGTATATATATGGCTTAATTTCACTGTTCAAGGTTTCCTATCGCAGCCTGAGGGAGGTCAAGCTTAGATAGAAACCTCGCTAATCTATTACTATATACATGTAATATTTATTATTAATTATTGTTTTAGACAAAGCATAATTTCATAAACGTGCATTGGATGTTAGTTGCACTTGCGTTATAACATATGTGTGATAAACATCCAACCTTGGATGCGGTCCTGTGTCTACAATGAGTTGGAACCACAGAACTGCAACGAAGGATGGATGGATAAATATACGGTAGCTTTCTCATAATAAATTACAGGTAATTGATAAAAATAAACACGTTTATGTTTTAATTAATATTTTACAGTTTTTTTTGTATATATTAGCGTATTTTTTACACATTACTAAAAACAAGCCAGGGAGACGTTCTGGTGCAAATCTAGACGCAATTCTCCTCACGCTACCAGCGCATGTTCCCACTACACACCACCGTCAACGTGTGCGTATCAACGTATCATCTTTATCATCATGTGTCATATCTGCAACATTCCTATCTTAGCTGTAACATTTCTATGTCATATCTGTAACATTTCTATGCCATATCTGTAACATGTTTGTGTCATATCTGTAACATTACTATGTCATCTTTATAACATTCCTATCTCAGCTGTACGTAACACTCCTATGTTATATCTTTATAACATTCTTATCTCACTGTAACATTCCTATCTCATCTGTAACATTCATATCTCACTGTAACATTCCTATGTCATATCTGTAACATTTCTATGTCATTTCTGTAACATTCCTATCTCATTTCTGTAACATTATTATGTTGATCTACTAGAGTCCTCTGTCTTTGGCACACACTTAATGTTACAGATGTCACATTACAGATCACAGGTGTTACAGATAGAAACGGCGTCAGTATTCACCTTTTATAGTCTATATATATTATATAATATATACTAGCAAATGCCTAGGTATGCGCAATATTGTTTATATTAGCAAATAGCTATATGTTACTGTCGGCCTTTGCCCGAAATGTTGAAGTAATACATTTATATGTTTTATGCAGTTTTTGTTGCAATTTCCATCATAAAATCAACTTTAATCTATTATTCAAGGGCTACCCATTAGAAATTTTTACGATTCGTTTAAGTAACATGTTACGCAGATATATTATAAGTGATTGGCGAATTGATATATTGATTTTGTGCTATGAACTACTTCGTCATTTCGTAGGTTTACGGTTATCCTGCGTGTTGTTATTTCTGCTTTCTGCAGCCGGCTGAAAGGGGTGGTAGGATATGTTTACTAGGCACTTCAGTGCTTGCTCCTGTAGTTGATGCATCAGTGCTTGCTCCTGTAGTTGATGCATCAGTGCTTGCTCCTGTAGTTGATGCATGAGAGTCTTATCTTGCTTTCAGTTGCTTCACCTTGAGTTTGTTGCTGTAGTGTTTAATGCTTCTTTCATTCAAACCGCGATGAGCATGATGACTTGTGGGAAGAAGTGCTTACGTTAAACTCTATTTCACGGCGTTGACATCAAGACAAATGGATTTTTTTTAAATTCTGATTCTGCAGTGCTTATTAAAACCTGCTTTTAAACTGCATTTAGAGCATGGGAACATAATTTATTTTGATCATTTGATTTCAACAAATAACAGATATATACTATACTGTAGGTAGGTTAAATAAATGTTTTATTTGTCGTGTTCTACCTGCTGTATATCACAAAAACGTGTTTGTTTCCTGACCTAGACTGTTGCAATATAGCTATAATATGTTGATGAAACACAATAATTATGCTACTCTCTCACATTGTACGTTTAATTCCGCATAAGACGTATATGTACATATATGCTTCTGTGTAAATAACACCTTGCCGGCATGGCAAATGTCACAGGCTGCTCAGCAGTTTTCAGTTCACTCACTTATAGTACCTTAATTACCTCCGCCAGGGGCGTGGCGGAGGTTATGTTTTCACCGGCGAATGTTTGAGTGTTGGTTTGTGTGTTTGTGAACATGCACGTTCCAGTTCACTTCCGCTAGGTGCGCTGGCTGTAGACTTACAAACACGCAAACACAGGCTAAGGGGCAACCACAGTCCTCCCCCACCTGCACGCTCGCACTAATCCGGATCCAATTAATTAATTAATTAATTTTTCCACTTAATTAATTAATTAATAAAAAATTCCACATTGAGAGAATTCAGCTGGCTTGGCGGAGGTCTGTGCTCTCCGAGTGCTCTACTATTATTTGTGGTTTGGCCGTATTGAGTGGAATAAGATTAGCTACGTCCAGCACTGTCTAGTCTCTTCATGTGTGATTGAAGCACCCTGAACATTGCATCTTGATCTTTGTGCACCATCTAATTGTTTTATATGTATGACTTTCCTTGTTAAGTTTGTTAGAAAAGTTTCATGCTAAAAAGTATTATATATTTTTTAGTTCACCTGCATCATATATTTTAATTTGTTAGCTGAAACAATTTATTCGTATAAAAAAATGGACAGAAATGAACCTAGTTTTGCCCTTCTCTCCCTTTCTGTCCTTCTCCCCTCTCTCTCTCTCATGTTCTTCTCTCCCTTTTTCTCTCTCTCCCTTCTCTCTCTCTCTCTCTCTCTCTCTCTCTCTCTCTCTCCCTTCTCTTTCTCTAATGTTCTTCTGTTCCTCTCTCTCAACCTTCTCTCGCTCTCTCCCCTTCTCTTTCTTTAATGTTTTTCTCTCTCCCTCTCTCTCTCTCTCCCCCTTCTCTTTCTCCAATGTTTTTCTCTCCCTCTCTCTCTCTCTCTCTCTCTCTCTCTCTCTCTCTCTTCCCCTCTCCCCCTTCTCTTTCTCTAATGTTTTTCTCTCTCTCTCCCTTCTCTTTCTCTAATGTTCTTCTCTCCCTCTCTCTCCACCTTCTCTCTCTCTCTCTCCCTTCTCTTTCTCTAATGTTCTCTCTCTCTCCCTCCACCCCTCTCTCTCTCTCTCTCTCTCTCTCTCTCCCCTTTTTTTTCTCTAATGTTTTTCTCGCCCTCTATCCCGCTTCTCTTTCTCTAATGTTTTTCTCTTCCTCTCTCTCTCTCTCTCTCCCCTTCTCTTTCTCTAATGTTCTTCTCTCCCTCTCTCTCTCCTCCTTCTCTTTCTCTAGATAATGTTTTTCTCTCCCTATCTCTCTCCCTTCTCTCTCTCTCGCCCCCTTCTCTTTCTCTAATGTTTTCTCTCTCCCTCGCTCTCTCTCTCCCTTCTCTTTCTCTATATGCGCGCGCGTTTGTGTGTGTGTGGTCTGTGTGTATGTAAGTCACAAGGACAGTCCCTTCACCGTGTCGGCGTCTACACGGTGAAAGACTTCTTCAGTTACGGCCAGTTCTACGTCACTTCTAGCCGCGTGGTAAGTGCCATGCAGCTAAAGATTCTAGCTGTAGACGCCAAGGACACAACTAAGCGTTCCATCATGAAAAATGTGGTCTACACAGAAGTTCTGACCACCTAACGGGCATGGACTAGTGTTACTTAATAATGTATTTTTGGTATTAGTGAGTAATCATCTAACAGCGGCCTGGCTACAGAAGGTAATAGCATCAGGTTTACTTAATAGATATATTACGTACTCCTATATAACATATCTATCATGTGCTGCTACATCATATACAATACAATACATAACACCATACACTGTCTGTTTGTTAGGCTTCGTCTAGAGATCGAAGACTTTGATCTAGAACTCGGAGCAACGGCTTATTTGAAAGAAAGTGACTCATTTGTTGGATACACGCGTGTTCTCAGAAATATAAAAAATCGCGATCTTTCTCCGAGGCAGTTCTATATCTCTTGAAATTACGGCGATGGTCGAATATCGGGTAAGCGAAGTTGGAGTAATGGCTTGTATGACCCCGCTTCTTACTAATGGCCCTGTCACACATTGACGATTTAGCCAGCGTATGCCGGACGTATAAAAAATTTGGTGAATACGCTGGCGTATGTCGAATAAGTTATGGGTAAGCTTTGTATAAGTTAATCTTGAGCACGCTGAAGCACGCTGAAGCACGCTGAAGCACGCTGAAGCACGCTGAAACACGCTGAAGCACGCTGAAGCACGCTGAAGCACGCTGAAGCACGCTGAAGCACGCTGGTATACGTCGTAGTACGGCGAGGTCGTCGAAATATTTTGAGCATGCTCAAAATTTCCCGACGTATGCCAGCGTATGCCCATACGTCCCGCATACGCGGGCCATAAGTTGTAGGTAAGTTATGCGATAATAGTGTGCCTTCATATATGTTTGCCTATATATATATATTCCTATATATATATATTTTCATATATCACCTGCCATACGCACGCGTATTAACAACGTGTGTCATGTACCTACTCATCCGTTTTGGTAACGGTACGGAATATAATATACCCTCTAGCTATCAAATGTCTGCCTATTAAGAAGATTCTTGATTCATTAAAATATATATCGCTTTCATGGTTGTGACGTGATGACCGTCTGTGTTTGACACATTTCGACCCAATAGTTTCATCGTCGGAATATTATTACGGGGTTTTCCCATCGTGTAAAATGCCCTGCGTGCGTCACTGCGAGTGAATTGCAGTAAAAGCTAAAGCAATATAATTGCAGTATTGCTCAAGTATAGAGGAGGGAAATGCAGCAATCGCCAGGCGTGACTAATGGATACGAAAGGGTCGCGTGTGCTCAATGGTCCGCGGACATAGAACGAGAACAAATCGTCTTTAGCGATATTTTTAACACTTCCGAGAATTGACGGGCATTGTAGAATCATATACGTTATATCATATACGATTTTATGGAAACGGAATTTAAACATAACCCCCTTTTAAAAGCACCTGATATGGCTTGAAAATCTGTCTGGTTTTGACGTTTAAATACATGCATTCAGTTATGTCTGCTATTATCATATTTAGAGGCGCTGGGCCTAGGTAGACATTTATCTACCCTGCACTCGATCACATTCATGATGAAACAAGTGAAATAAAGTTCCTACTATATATATGCGCGCGCGCGTGTGTGTGTGTGTGCGCGCGCGCGTGCGTGCGTGTGCGTGTGTGTTTGAGTGCGGGCGTGCTTGCATACAAGCCCGTGAGTTTTTGTGTGCGCGCGTACTTGCATGTACGTGCGCGTCTGTGCGTGAGCGGTCAAACAACCAACCCAGTGAACAGCAACCAGCTGTTATGATCACGTGCTCACATGGCTTCCCCTGATAAGATCAGAAGCAGCTTGACATTTTGCTCCTATTAAGTTCCGTACTAGTACAGCCTGTAGCAATACCAACACCTCCGCAAAACATTCTTCTTGTCTGTGATTCCTCGCGTCATCAGCAATAAAAATTTATTATTTACTTTATTATCAATATATTAGAACTAGAGCTGTTGCATATTACTGTTAATAACTGACCCACGATTCCGTATCTCGACTGAATTCGAGTTGTTAATTCCCATGTTGGCAAAGGATTCCGTATACTATACCGTTAAGTAAAATACCGATCACACACAGAACTTGTTATATATATCTCAACTAAACTCACTCCACTTCAATGCCTGTGTTTGTAGTTTCACTTGCCCGGATGATGTCAATAATGATCGCATTAATGTTAGACTAGGGTTAGTATAAAGTATTTAAAATAGTTAGCATCCCTTGCATTAGATTAGTCCTTCCGCATATATATGCCTCCTCTATTTATTTATTTCAGTTTTTAGTTATTTTATTATAAATTATTTTGATTCATGTTCATCCTCATCATTTGTGAGAATACAACAGTCTCTGACTCGTAACATGAAACTATATTTAGTGTAGTGACGTAGATATCGAATTAATTAACCTAGTATAAACCCCCAGCGACACGGGTCGTTTAACTTAAGCAACATCACGTCATAGTTAATTTTAGTTCAAGGTCGCTTAACGTCATGGTTATTTTAGTTGACAAATGTCAGTCAAGGTAACAGGTGAAAGTTGCACCATGAATATCCCAAGAAACTGATTCACTAGAACACGAGTAAAAATTACGACCCGCTCAAGGTGACGACTGCTACGAGTCTTATGACAAGTCGCGCACGCCGGGCGTGCGTGACACAGCGGTACCTCTAACACCGGTGTCGCACAAGCCAACCAGGGTCAAATCTGTGCCATACCTTCAGCATTGGCGAGCCGAACACGTCGCGTGCACATGGTAGCAGCGGTATGGCACAAAGCATGACACTTTAGTACCAATAGAAGGCTGTTCGACGAGGGCTTCGAGAAACTCCCATCTACGCCTCCATCATATCTACAAAGACTCCGACCGCCGTTCTCACGCTAGAGAAGGAAGTCTCACCTTCAGTTGTCCATAAAATTCTGGAGAAGGACACAGGATTGCACCACCATCGTCAATAAGGCCTTGAGGACACTTGGGCCACGCATTCCTCCAGTAGTATAAATAACGAACAGTTTCGACAAGAAGGCAGACACGGTTCCACGGTGCCTGACAGATCCCGACGCTGTCAACACCAGGCTCCGCTGCTCTCACCTGCTCGCTGCTACCGTTGCCGCCGGACACCGCCAGGACCTGCCTGCGACCTGCATGACTCCATATGCATACCACGCTCGTAAATATGAACTGCATTTGTAAACCCGTCGCTTGTCTGTATGTGCCTGGTGTATAAGATATGTATTGTATGTATTGTATCGTATTTACTGGTTGGCTTGCGCAGCCACCTATGTATTGTATGTAATTGTCATTATGATGTTGTAATTGTCAGAATAGAGTAACCGTAGCAATTCTGTGGTTATAGCATTGTACTGTCTGTGGCTTAAGTGCAATAGCACAAGAATCTGTTGTACAACAAACCTGGACACTATACGATTACACGTGCCTATTACACGGACACACAAGCTTTGTTATATTAGGAACTACAGCTGTATGTGGAAAAACTCGGCGACAAGTTGCAAGAAATCGTTAGAATCGACGATGATACCGGATACTTCTCACTACATGGCAGATATATCTCTGTTTAACTCTGTCTCTCTCTGTCTCTCTTTCTCTCTCCGCCTGTCCCTATCACCTCTTCCCTATGGAGCAGCTATCTCTATCTGTTTCTCCTCTTCACTATGGAGCAGCTATCTGTCTATGCCTCCTTTTCACTACGGAGCAGATGTCTCTCCCTTCCCACCCCCCCCCTCTCTCTCTCTCTCTCTCTCGCCTCTTCGCATCTCCCTCTCTCTCACTTCATCACTCTCTCTCTCTCTCTCTCTCTCTCTCTCCTCTCTCTCTCTCTCTCTCTCTCTCTCTCTTCTCTCTGCCTCTCCCCCCGCCTCTCTCATCTCTCTCTTTCTCTCTCTCTCTCTCTCTCTCTCTCCTCTCTCTCTTCTCTCTCTCTTTCCTCCGCCTCTCCTCTCCCTCTTCTCTCTCTCTCTCTCTCTCTTTCTCTCTCTTCTCTATCTCTCTTCTCTCTCTTTCTGCTCTCTCCTCTCTCTCTCTTTTTCTTTCTCTCTCTCTCTCTCTCTCTCTCTCTGTCTGTCTCTATCTCCTCTTCACTATTGAAAACATATCTCTCCCTGTGTCTCCTCTTCACTACAGGGAAGTTTCCCTAAGTGTCTGCCCTTCACTGCAAGAGAATTTTTCCTATGCATACGTTCTTCAGTACAGGGGAATTTTCCCCTATGTATATGTTCTTCAATACAAGGGAATTTTCCCCTATGTATATGTTCCTCGGTACAGGGGACAGGTATCAATATATGTATTGTCCGGATTTTGTCGATCAGGAATAGTTGAAAAGTGATGGAATATTGCAACCGCCCCTCATAAATTAATAACCAAGTAAATTACGGAGCGAACTACTCTACACTACTGTAGACAGACTACTATACTATTCTATAGACAGTCTAGAGGGATTTAAAAACTTGTTACTAGTTTCTAATAACCACTAGCCATGTTTGCAATATGTGAAAATATATACATTCTAGCAGAGCACGTGCACGTCATGGTAATATAATGTGTTCTTATTAAATATACCGCACATGATAAACGAGAGGAGGAGGTCAATAAATCATTATTCCTTCACCTCATAATAGATATAACATGGAACGTACGCAGTAATGCTATGCGGCATTGTCGTTCCTATTCTGTCTAATTCGTGTGATGTGTATGTTGTGATTTTGTGTGTGCGCGCTATGATTGCACACAAAGTTTATTTATGGGGGACAGAGCGCTGCAAACCAGCAATTTTACTTAGTTGTGTTTTTTTAAACAATAGAGGAATAACGCAGTATATGATCGACAGTGCTATATTCGGAGAGCGGTAACCATGAACACGAGAACATGTATGGCTCCTGTATACAAACCCAGTGTCATAGCTGCTGCGCCTATAAGCGTGTTAACGGATGGAAACGCCCCACGCCTGCTACGTTTTCATGTTTTTCCGAGTTTTCATTTGATTTTATCGTGTTTTGTTTCTGGCCACACGCGTCGTTTTCCTTCATAATGCTCTTTTTAGATTCACTCGCGAAGTGCCGTTAATTCAAACGTTGTCGGGGAGGATTCAAGAGTTATCAGGGCCGGAGTATGACTGAGATTTTTTTTACGCGGCCTGTTTTTTCTAGCAATTAGTGTTTTCCTCTCCGTGCGCGCAGTGACAGAACCAACGTCGCCTGTCATTCTACACTGTGTCACGTGAGAGAGTAGGTCGACACGCTATTTTGACATACTCTGCAGTCGGTCATTAGTGATATAGGTGTTGCAGACAACAGCGCATTCAATGTCAGTGTAACGAAGAGTGAATCAGTGAGGTCCGTGGCAATCACGTATAGAACGCGTGCACACGTAGCTCAGTGGGATTTCCGCTACCACAATTGGTTCCGATACTGGTGTGGGGACTGTGCCCACACCAGGTGTGTCGCTAGTTCACACACAGGAAAACACATGAGCCCCTTATATGAGGAAAGGTGATGTGAAATAGTATGTCACGTAGTGACGTTGCAGCTTAGACAGTTCGCTCTGTGGTTAGTTGGTTATACGTGATTGCCGTAAAATTGCATCTAAATATGATTTACAATCATGTAGCTAGCCTGGAAAGTGCGAGCAAGCTACAACTCTCGATTATAATCAACAAAGCTAAAGTTAATTCTCTTATATAAGAGCCACGCGCTGTTGTGTTAGACACCGGGTTTGAGAACGAGTTAACACGACACCACTCTCAGCATCGCGTAATCTCTCATCCGGGGAACACGATATAGACACATATAATTATACGCACAGGCCGTAGCCGCGTCTCAGCATAAAATATAGGCCCTACTATAACTAGCAGATATCTTCTAGCAGTCAGCACGAACGAACTTACGCAATAGCACGATATTGAGAGGAGATGCTACAGCGCAGAGTAATGAACACACGTGAAAGTGTGGCGATCGGCGTAAAAACTAGAATATCACAATTCTACGTACACCGAGATAAAACGGTTACTATAGCCGGTCTATAACGAAAACACACAAAAATGAATAAAACACTCAGAGAATGCGACCTTTATGCGGACATCTTAAGATCTAAGATGGCGTCCTGGGTCACGTGGTAGCCGCTGGTCGTCGGCGCTGAAACCGACAATGACGTCGAGTTTCTTAAACCGGATGTCGACGCTGGGCAGAAAGCTACGGAGCGATCTGCGACCGGATGTGGGACACCGCATGTGCAGTCCTCCCTTCAGTCTCTCATCCGTTGTTTCCGGCGTAAAAGCAACTGCTGAGTTTACGGGGCGTGTTGTGAGCGCTGGACAGACCAGCCGGCTGATGCTCCAGCAGCTGATACCTGCGCAGATAGAGATATACATGTATGGATGCAGATACAGATGGCTGGATGCAGATATAGATGTATGGATGCAGATATAGATGGCTGGATTGGTGGACTTGGATGTATGGATGCAGATATAGCTGTATGAATGCAGGTGTAGATGGCTGGATTGGTGGACTTGGATGTATGGATGCAGATATAGCTTTATGAATGCAGGTGTAGATGGCTGGATTGGTGGATGGATGTATGGATGCAGATATAGCTGCATGAATGCAGGTGTAGATGGCTGGATTGGTGGATGGATGTATGGATGCAGATATAGCTGCATGAATGCAGGTGTAGATGGCTGGATTGGTGGATAGATGTATGGATTCAGAATAGCTGTATAAATGCAGGTGTAGATGGCTGGGTTGGTGGATGGATGAATGGATAATCTGATTCAGATATAGATGTATGAATACAGGTGTATAGATGTATGGATTGATGGATGGATGTACGGATGCAGATATAGATGGCTGGATGCAGATATAGATGTATGAAGGCATATATATATATAATATAGATATATTAGGATATTAATATATATATATATATATAATATATAGATGGCTGGATTGATGGATGAATGGATAGGGTAAATCATGTATACCCGAAATCAGTGAAACGTAGTAATATATAGATATATATATATAAATAAATAGTATATATAATATAGTATATATTAGTCAATAGCATATAGCCCCTATATGCTGTAGTGTTGGACAAAAAACCGTCGGTTTGCAGGTCTATCCTCCACTCTCCGAAAATTTTGCAGATAAAAACTCAATCTTGTTCTGTCCTTGTAGAGAAATCAAGTGTAAGAATATGAGAAAAAATTAGACAAGGACCAGTAAACCGAACCTAACTAAATGATTAAGGGTTAAAAACCTTCGCAGATTTTGCTTTGCTTTTTGTTCCTTGATATTCACAATACAAGTATCAGGTTAGGCAGAAATGTCTCACTGATAAGATAGAACTACTAATTAGTACATGCTATTATGCTATATTTATCATGATCATTCATATGTATTATGATACTAATATAGTTATGGCTACCAGGCACTAGCTCTACTAATCCTTACGCGATAATGTGGGGGATTTGTGTGGGCAATGTGGAGGTGTGTGGGTGGGTGTGTCGTGTGTGTGGTCGGGTCTGTGTGGTGTAGGTATGTCGCGTTGTGCGTGGGCGCGTGGCGTGTGACGGTGTGCGTATGCGTGTGCGTGGTGTGGGTGCGTCTGGTGGGGTGTGGGGTGTGCGGATTGATGTTGGGATGCCCCTGTGGCCGGCTATACGGTTCCGCACCGCTCAACGAGAGGCGCAGATTGTAGTGGGGCACATCCGGCCCGGTGCCCCTTTTAAGACCCAAAAAATAAAAAATACATTCTATTAAAAAAATTACAAAAAAAAATGACAAATTAATTTCTCAAGTCAATGTTGTAATAGGTTACAAGATGAGGGTTCCGGCAGATTGTGAATCAGGGACCCTGTTCATGTTTAACATAACTATTCAATTCTGTCATTCGTCTTCTGAAACTTTCCTGCCAAGAAAACATCTCAGATCCGGCAAGAATTGGAATTTTACATTGTTAGAGATATATTGCGTGGCCTGCAACTGTTATATGGTCATACAATGTAGGTAACCGGGATGTTGCAGTAGGAGAAAGGACTAATTTTATTTTGTTCTGGAGGACATACTCATACGAATACAACATTCTTTCAAGTTGTGAAGATATTCGAGGTTATCACAAGATGGGGATTTTTGAAATTGCCATATTTGTCTCTAGCCTGCAATAGTAGTGGCATATCGGTGAATGTGCTTCTTGTAAGAACAGATGATGTCAGAAATATATAGTGGGTTAAAAAAATTTCAGTAAATGTAATTTCTCGGTTGTTTAAAAAAAACATTTGGACGGTCTTGCCTCCCCCCATCCCGCGCCCCATACCGAAAGGCTGGGCACGCCACTGCATCAAATTTAACACATAAATGCTTGCCTGCAATATGAGTTAAAAATACCCGTCGTACAGTAGCACCAGATTGCCCCACCATTTTAACCCGGCCCCTACCAAAAGTGCACACAACTCCCCAGGAGCGTGTACAGGGCCGGGTCCAGGGGTCGCGGACCCCCCGGCTCGCGCAGAAAACGCATCTGAGGGGGTATAAGGTTCAAAATTTCTGGGAGGGCCCCCAGAATCCCCCGACGCGTGCTCGCAAAGTATGAGGTACGGTTAGACCCCCCTGCGGCCAAATCCGGGACACGCCCCTGCCCCCCCCCGCACTCGCTTCTACTCGCGTCGGGCTGGTCGGCTCGCTTGCGGCCCGTAGCACCCCCCAGTCCATACATATGCCGTCATTTGGCCTGCCCTCTTTTGAAATGCCTTGGATCCGCCCCTGGCTCAACGGGATCCTCTCCAGCTTCGCGTCGGAACATTCTACAGATCATGACACGTGGCATGGGCTATGTTTCCCCGTTATAAGTTTTTGCATTATTCACGGTGCAAACATTAAAAAGTGGGAAGTGTTGTCACGAGCCGGCGGGGGCAACGTCACAACACGAAAACCACAATGGCAAATGTAAAAAAACAATATATAACCAAAGATTTCGTCCGCTCCATCCTTCTCCACTTCTTCCATTCGTTACCATCTAAGATTTTCTAAGTCGCTCCATACCTAAGCTAACCAGAGAATGTTAGACCATGGGTTGGACATTGGTTCTTAAAGGGAGCCGCATTTCGTAGAACACAACGTCAACAGCGCCACACGGCAAAAAATTGTTATAACAGGCGCGTTCACACACAAGAAAACCGCGATGCTAAGCGCGAATGAAATAGCCGAGATAATGGGTCGTTCTGCTTCACACAGAGCGAATAATCCCGCTTAATCCCGAGCGAGGATAATTCTAGTAATCGAACTTGCGCAGGCTCACTGCCGAATGATGCCTCACTGCGGCTGCTCACTGCTCAGCTCGCTTGGATGATGCGGATAGAAATACCGGGATTATTGGTTGCACACACGAAATAATCGCGCTAATGCAAAGAAGCGCAGTCAAAGTCATTTTGGAGCGCAGATGCTGATCGCGATTATTAGTGATATATTGCGTTCAACACTTTGATAGATCGCGGATTTCGGATCGCGATGCCCAAAAACCGGATTTGCATTCCGCTGATATCGCGCCGTAGTGAACGCGCTAATGAGTGCCCAGCTAAGGCCACAAACAAGAAAAATGCACACGGACAGCCGTCGAGATATTAAGCCATCGACAAGATCACCGCCCGCAAGAAAAGGCGGCCCTCGCTGTCAAGAAAACTCCTGATGTCGCAGGTAAGGATTTGGCAACCGTAAAGTAAACGTCTTAACGCTTCAGACTGACCTCTAATATACTCAGTACAAGCCATTTTATTTTTTTAGGTAGTGTGACTCGGCCATGGGGTGTGCGTGCGTGCGTGCGTGCATGCGTGCGTAGCCGTGGGGCGTGCGGGCGTGGCGTGCGTGCGTGCGTGTGCGTGTGCGTGTGTGTGTGTGGGTTGTGTGTGTTGTGTGTGTGGGGTGTGGGTGGAGTGTGTGTGGGCGGAGAGGTGTGCTTGTGTGCCTGGGTGTGTGGGTTGTAGTGGAGGTGGGCATGGTCTATGTGGTGCGTGTAGTGTATGGGTTGTGTATGCGTGTGTCGTGTGGGTGCTGGGGGGTGTGTGGTGTGTGTCGTGGGTGGTGTGTATGTGTTTAATGCGCGCGCTGGTTGTGTGTGCTATGTCTGGGCTGTGGTGACTTAAGTCACAAGACAGTCCCTTCACCGGTGGCGCGCGTCTAACACGGTGAAAGACTCTTCATTACGGCCAGTTCTTGCATACGTCATTTCAGCCGCGTGGGTAATGCCATGCAGCTAAAGATTCTAGCTGGTAGACGCCAGGACACAACTAAGCGTTCCATCATGAAAAAATGTCTACACAGAGTTCTGACCACCTAACGGGCATGGACTAGTGTTACTTAAATAATGTATTTTGGGTATTTAGTGAGCTAAGCAGTAACAGCGGCCTGGCTACAGAAGTAATAGCCAATCAGGTTTACTTAATAGATATATTACGGACTACCTATATAACTAGCATCATGTGCGCGTGGGCCTACATCATACAAGACAAGACATAACACCTACACGGTCTGTTTGTATAGGCTTCGTCTAGAGATCGAAGACTTGGGTGAGAATCGGAAGCAACGGCCTTATATTTGAAAGAAAGTGACTCTTGGTGATACACGCGTGTTCTCCAGAAATATAAAATCGCAGATCTTCGCTCCGAGGCAGCTATATCTCTTGAATTACGGCGATAGGCGAATATCGCCGCGTAAGCGGAGGGAGTAAGGGCTTGTCATGACCCCGCTTCTTACGAATTGGCCTGTCACACATTGACGATTTAGCCAGCCGTATGCCGCGTATAAAAAATTTGGTGAATACGCTGGCGTACGTCGAATAAGTTAGGGGCGTAAGCGTTAGTATATTAATCTGTGCACGCGGAAGCACGCGGAAGCACGCGGTAAGCACGGCTGAGCACGCTGAAGCACGCTTGGTATACGTCGTGTACGGCCGAGGTACCGTCGAATATTTTGAGCCATGCTCAAATGTCCCGACGTATGACCAGCGGATGCCCAGGACGTCCCGCCATACGCGGCCATAAGTTGTTAGGTAAGTTATGCGATCGTTAGACACACGTTTCACACAGCCGTTACTTGTAAGTTTACTCATAGGCGAAATACGGCGAGAGAATGTCTAGCGGACCAAAACTTATTGCTAACCGAATGAGGAACGTGCTTTGAACCTAGGTGGATTATCTCCAACGCATGTTGACGTATTGGTTTTTAGGAAAACAAAACGTCTTTGACGTGTTCCAAACACCACAGAACTTACGGAACGTCGACTGGTGTCTAACTTACAGCTACCGTATTGAATGGCGTTTGGCAGCTCTTTAGGGGAATTGGCATAGAAAATGGTATTTGGCATGTTGGTACTGCGACGCGGTGATGTTATACTGCGATGTCTAGGTGCGGGGTTGATTGAAATTTCGTCGAGCCGGGCCAGGCCTGTATAGCAAACGACACGTGATGTCAGGACAGTACGCTGCCGCGCGCCTAGGCAGGAGTTTCGACTAATCGTTGCGCATAAGCTCGTGAGAACGCCGAGCAACACGCTAAAGCATTCGCTTGGGTATAGTATATCTAATAGGGTTTATCGAACACGCCTTCATATAATACGTTACGAATACGTTAAGTATAACGTCCAACTCATTAGGAATTACGCTATGTATACGCCAAAAATTGAAAAAAACACGTAGTTCAGCGTTGCCAGCGTATGAGAGATAATGTGATTCACGTCCGGGCATACGCTGGACTAATCGGCAATGTGGGACAAGGGGCCATGTACATAGTAAGAGGTAGGTACTACGCAATGAGCCACCGGACACGTGAGAACGGCTAAATAAAAATAATGGTAAAATAAACACGAAAGGTAAATGTACTACAAAGCCTTCATGTGTCTCTACTCTCGCTTGGCTTAGGTCGAGAAACTTCTGTAAATTGCCGGTCAAATGGCTTCTCTGCACACAATTGAGTACACCGCACAGCACGCGCGATGCACAAATAACAAGAAATATAGAAGCTATAACTACAAGAAGTCTATTTTTAGTGGGGTTGTGCACTGCGGCGGCCGAATCCCCAGGCGCCCGTGCGGTGTGACGCATGTGTGGCAGGGAGATTTGAACGGCATTTATAAAGGAAGCTTAGCGGCAATAATAGGCGAAAGAGACGGAGAGAAACATTAAGACATTTGGTTAGAAATATATTTCGTGTTATGGACGTTTTTTATTCGACGTTCAAGTGCATGTGGCATGAACGGGCTGGAGGTTGCTGAATTAAGCTGTTCAGTTACGTGTATTAAACGGAGAAAGTGTTGAAAAGCCGCGTACGGTGTCGCGTCTAATAGATCTATATGAAACTCAAGCGCCTTACCGCGAGGAGAAGAAAAAAACGCACTCAGATCCGGCTGAAGGACGGTAGTGCCGACAGTTACACTAACACACAGCGTGCTGCGTGCGCCTGCTGGCGATGGATTCTAAGGCTGGTTTTTAAGTAGGGGTAGACTAAAAATGAAAAGATCATAACACTGCCTGCTGCGGTGAAAAGTACTCTGGTTTTGGCTGAAATTTTGATTGCGCTAGTCGAAAGTTAGTCAGGAAGTTGACGACGATTGTTTAAGTAGTCGGAACCGTTTAAAAAAAAAAAATTACACCGTTGCGCCTTGTGCGACGCACGCCACACACGCACGCTTACGAGCACGCGCGACACACACCCACACACACACACACACACAGCACACACACACACACACACACACACACACACACACACACACACACACACAGAACACCACACATGGTATACAATGATATTATAGATACTATTAGATTATGATATTCATATATATGATAGACAGGAGATATATACTAATACATATATAAAATATATATAGATCATATATATATATATATATATATAGGTGGGGCCCGTGTGGTGTCGGGTGTGGGGGCTGTGGAGCACTTCGGGTGTGTGTGTGTGTGTGTGTGTGTGTGTGTGTGTGTGGGAGGTGCTTGTCACTGGCCTATGTATGGCTTACCAATGAGCGATCGGTTTGCGTGGGCTGTCTAGCATCTCCAGCCAGTGGTCTCTCCCCTGACCGAGACAAGTCATACCGGACCCCGAATAGCCGACTATCTCGTTACTACCGACCCTAGATGTAGAAATAGAAGAGGCTCATGTATAGTCACATTAGCTCGCTGCTCATGGTAACTGTGGTTTAGCAAACAGAGACATAGGTACCTGTGTTCCTGTATCAGCAGGATATTTTAATGGGTTCTAGGACAATAAATCACCGAAAAATTACACCCCCCTCCCCGCCGACATTCTCCCCCGGACAATCGTCTCCCGGACAATCACACCCAACAACCAAATACTCTAAACAACCAATGTGGTTGGCAACACTCTATATATGCTTCACGGTAAGCCACAGGGGAATTGTTCTATCTGCTCATTCTATTAACTAGTAGGTGAGTGCATGAGCATCGGGTGGTTGAACAAGATTCTGCTTACTTGTCGTAGTCTTTGACTTGCACTAAGACGCCGCATTCATCGATGTTCTCCGCTGGAATATCGAAAACTAGAGCCTCGTTATAGACGGGGTTTAATGTACTCTTCTTCACTGTTGTCTTCTTCTTCTTTATGCGCTTGCCTTGACATACCAGCACAACCTTCACGTACGGATCTGTGAAAGAAACCTTTGCAGTGACAAACAGCAGAAAAAACAACAACGACAACAACAATGACAAACACGAACAGCGAACAACAGAGAACAACAGCCATAGTAGGTATCCTCTTGGTCAAGAGCAAATTGCAGTAATCTTGTGAATGAACATCTTGAAATTGATCTCATGATGCACGCTAAAGCCGACAGTAAAACTACTGAAATATATATATATATTGTAAGCAGGCAGTTTACATGAATGTAGCTGCTGCATATGAAGGTAGCAATGCTTGACTCGCTATAGCGGCGGACGGGATGATAGCCGGAGTAACACGAGAAAGAGAAGCTGGCTAAAACATTTCTAGAGCACGGCTCTATACACTGGAAATCGTATGCGCGTTGAAACTCGTTACACGTGTGTTTGCCACGTTGGCAATGACTCATCCCTGGTCAAGAATAACCTGGCGCAAGAGGCCATGCAGGGACTTGTGTGTCGAACTGCGCAGTAGAATTTTAAGCCAAGGTACGAAGAGCGAGGAAGTCGCCTGCTCGTGTTGGTTACCGTATTTGGCAATAAAGTGGGAAAACTGCGTCACGTGAAGAGGGCAGAGACGACCAGTTCGTACGGGGCGCCATGCAGGACAGGGCTCAATTCTGTCTTACAAAACTCCCTTTTGTGCACAAAACTCAATTCTGTCTCACAAAAGTCAATTTTGTGAACACAAAACTCAATTCTGTCAATCCTGTCCCACAAAACTCAATTTTGGGAACACGAGCACTCAATTCTGTCGAATCCTGTCCCACAAAACTCAATTTTGCTGACGCAGCAAAACTTCAATTCTGTCAATCCTGTCCCACAACCAACTCGAATTTGTAAACACAAAACTCAATCTGTCAAGTCCTGTTCCACAAAACTCAATTCTGTCATATCCGGTTCCACAAAACTACGATTTTGTTGCCCAAATATGGCCACACGCCATGTCTAAGCAGAGGCTACCATTGCGTCCAGAAACTGGGCTCGGAGAAATGGTCCACTAAGTTACAAATCGAACACAACACGACGTTGCGCGACCGCTTCGACCATTTCGTCCAGCCCAGTTTTACCAATGGTATAGCCCCTTCTTACATAGCCCTTCTACTCGTGCGCCCGTGTTTGCCATATTGGGCAACAAATCGACGAGTTTTGCTGCCATATTTTGTGTGGCAAACGGAACAACAACGTGACTTGAGCAAAGAACGGTTAGTTTTGTGTTGGGGAACACACGGACGTTGGACCAGAATTAGTGATCTTTGGGATCCAGAATTCCAGAAATTGATTTTGTGTTTGTGTTTACGAAAATTCCAGTGGATAGTGTTCTAATTGAGTTTTGTGCTCACAAAATTGAGTTTTTGTGGGTACCAGAGGAGTGATCGAGAATGAACAGAGTATTTCTTGTGTCTTCTGTGCACAAAGATTTCCAAAATTGACGTTTTCGTGGGACCAGGATTGAACAGTACATTTGGTGCCGAACAGGATTGACAAGAATTGAGTGGGTTGGTCAGCAAAGAGTGTGTTACCAGAGAATTGACTTTTGTGATGAACACAAATGATTGAGCTATTTATGTTGAAAGGGAGTTCTTGTGGGAACAGGATTGACAGGAATTGGTTTTGGGTTCACAAAAAACTCATTTTTTGTCTCAAGCTTTATAGCGTACCAAAAATGCCCTGTCCTGCATGCGCCCCGTAAGTCGTGCTCATTAAAAGCAGAAAGCGCGCCGTCGATTTCAAGAAGGAAGAAATAGTGTAGTTAGCGCAGAAACAGTATATGACAGCATGAGTTCTTCATTCGGTCGGACAGAAAGTTGATAGTAGTTGCCCTGTCCTGATGTGCGACCGCCCCTATTATCGTAGTGAGTATTGATCTTTAGAGAGCGCTCGTCTATGGCACTTATCTCGTGCTCTGCTCGGTTTATTCGCCCCACTTTATTGGCCAATAGTGAACGAGAATCTTGGTTACATGTAAACATAATCTCTTGACCATCTAAATTATTAACTCGAAGAGGCGCCTCCTCTGAGCTTGTTGTTATCTTTCAACCCTTGGTTTTTAAAGATTCTACTTTGCTTGCGCCCCAACGTGTTTCCATTCACAACCACAAGTTCTCTCACTGCAAATCCAGTGAATTCACCTTAGTGAGTCTGTTATTTCCCGACTACAACATTGAGCCTTACTTTGATCCAATATTGGCTCCCCGTGACGTGAACTCGCTACTTAACCTGGGATGATAGAGCTCATTGCAACGTGGCAAAACACGTTGTAACGAGTTTCCAACGCGCATACGATTTCCGTGGGAATTAGAAGTCTCCAGTAGGCTTCTTCAAGGAAAATGTTATTTTATCGTCTGCTCTCCCGTTTCATACGTTGTGTACTTGCCCGGCGCTTGAATGTCATCTACCTGCGCTGTCCGGTTACCGGATCCAGCGCACAGCGAAAAACTATTAGCCCGAGTCAATCAAAGCCAATCTCCTAGACCTCACTCTATATTCGTCCTGATAGACGAAGCGTAACTTTCTAATTCAAATCTGCTTACCATAAAGCAGCCCCTGCGTCTTCTCCTAGCATGAAGATGAATAACTTTTAATTATATCTAAATCATTCTCCTCTAACTCACACGTTCTCCTGCAGTAGAAGTAATTTATACATTATATGTTCAAGCTCCTAGGATCTCAGCCGTTTCTTATCCTGTAGAGAATCGATTAACCTAATTAATGTGCAATCTATCTCACTCCATACCGATTGCCACACCTTTTTGCTCCTAGAGATATAAAACCCTCAGTATATCAACTTCCTAAGAATCCACCTTCTCATTGTGAGATGGTATGTTCGTATAATTAGTCTCCTGCTATATGCATACTTCTTCCTAAGATTCCTACTTTCTTGCCCGTTTGTTAGAGAGAAAACATAATATCTAACTTCTGCTTATTTATTTCATTGCTAAGCCTTTCTCTGCTTCACTTACGAACAGGTGTTAATATTCAAACATATCTCAGAATATCAACTTGAGTCTTGTCGTGAGGGGATCCACCTTCTCCTCTAGAGTATGTACAATAGACATCGAGCGCATAAAGAGACTACTCAACAGTGAAAGATCAGCTACTTCAACCCGTCCTCGTGCTAAAACGTGAAAGAGACTACTCAGTTATTCTCGTAGTCTCTCTCCAGCGTATATACTAACAACTGACATGGAGAACTATGAATGCGCGGCTAGTGCAGAGTTAAACTCCTACAGTCAGTCAGACTCTATTGGATTGCATATCGCCGATGCGCATGCACTCACCTACTATTAATGATGAGCAGATAGAACAATTCCCCTGTAGAGTTTCATAAGATAGATAGAGAATCTCTGCGTGTACAAACCCATTGCATTGTAATATTTAAGTGAAGTATTAAATATAGATATATGTCGTTTTATTGTGCAAAATTGTGTGATTGTCCGGGAGACGATGTCGTGGGAGAAGTCGCGGGGCGTGTAGGGGACATGTGTCGAGTGCATACTTAATTGTATCTTACGGTAGATCTTGTCTGCTCCCTAATCATACTCCACTAACACTTACCCCCGAACCGACATCTAATTTGCCGTGATGAGATGGAAGATAGCATATATAACAGGTTTATTGCCAAGAATTACCACAGTGGATAACAACCATATACGAATTTAACCATTAAAAATTTGTGCAATACGTTAATATATCTCACAGTACACACCCAGAGTATACAATCTGAGAACAAGTAAAATTATATTTGACAATATTCTTAGCCGATATATGTACGAGCTCTCTTACAAAAGATATCTACATCTAGGAGAGTCCAGCAAAGGTAGCTGTAGCACGAAGCGTTTAGACGTCCGAGAGACGTGTTCAGGGTCCGTATTGACTTTGTCTCGGCAGGGCATCGAGGCAACGCAACTGAGCTGTAAGAGCTAGCTCAAGACACAGGCCCATCAGAAACAACGAAAAAGGCACTCTTGCGCTTGACTGGCAAGCACACTACCACCGTGTCATCTCGCTGCTTTAGTCGATGCTACTACATCACGAGCCAACAGAATCTGGTTCACCACGACTCACGACACCACAACAATACGACATCCACTAGGACCTACGGAGAGACAACGCAGCACAACACGCACTAAACATCCATCGACCACACGCCAAGCATAATGACAATCAATGACCCACCTCCGGTGACCATTAGCTGCGGAGCGGAAGGCTATATTTGTTTATCGCCTATGGCTTATAGTTGCTCGGCGCTCAATACGTAAGTACATAACATGAGCCGAGCACATTGCCCAACATCATTCGACATTCAAGCTACGGCTACATCTGATTCCAAGTGTTCAAGTCAGACGACACGTGTCCAAGATCTGACGATTTACTCATTTATAGACTCAAAAAGTTACATGGCCGTCGAAAAATCTCACCGTAATCTATCAGCACCGACAAGACGTAAACACTTAAAAAGTATATATGAATCCTATCTAATAAAAAACTAGTAGATAATAATCGCGTTCGCATAAAACTTATCTCTCTAAGACATCAACGTTTAATTATTGGAACATATGATGATAGCGTGCAGAATATATGTGACACATGCAAACGACGAGCGACCGCGCGCGATTGTTGTGTGTGGGTGTGTGTGCGTGATGAGAGTGCTGTGATGTGTGTGTGTGTGGTGTGAGTGGGTGTAGCGCTGATGAGCATGTGTTGTAGCCCAAGTCGCAGGGCGGCCGCACGTGCGAGGACAGCGAGTTGACTTATTTATGACCGCAGACTTGGCTGGAGATTTCGCTATAGCCGAGCCAGCGACGAGACGCGTTCATTGAGCGGTGTTGGCTTCTTTGTCACCTCGGCCGGCAGCCGCGTAGCTGCTATATAAGCGGATTCAATCGTACTACCACGAGCATGAATGACTACAGCGTCAACTTTGAAATACTACAACTACGTATTTATCAAAATGAAGTAAACAAATTTCACTCAAATGCGAAACAAGGAAGTCAGCGCCGCAGAAGTTGGGACAAGGGAGATTCGGATATGCATACATCTAGCAGCGTAGCAGGGGGGTTCGGGGGCGCTCGAACGAACCCCCCCCCCCCCGAGCACCGCCCCCTCCCCACCAAGCCAAAATAATAATTTTTGAAAGTTTTCGCAAGAAGTTTCCACCTCAAGGTCGCTCATTTTAGTGTAAAATTGCAAAATCTCCATCGTGCGGGAGGGTGAAACATGAACACCCCCCTCCCAACCCTTCCCCGCTCGGTCGCTTCGGCCTCCCTCGCTTGGTCGCTTCGCCGACCGAGCAGGGGCGTTTACAGGGGTCCAGGGAGTCCGGACCCCCCCTTGACTCGCGCAGAAAACGAATCTGAGGGGGTCTAATTTTAAAATTTAGGGGGGAGGAGCCCCCCAGGACCCCCCCTCGCGTGCTCTCAACTTTGCGGTTACGGTTAGACCCCCCTCCTGTCAGAATCCTGTACTACGCTCCTGCTAGCAAATTGCAAAATTGGAAAACGAACCCCCCCCATAGAAAAGCTGGCTACGGGCCTGTCATATAAATTATATGTCTCATGGCTAAGACATAGTATACACTTAAAATGTTGCTTCGTAAAATTATATCATTAAACTAACCATCTTGAGAATATATTATACTAAAAGTTAAAGATACGTGATCTTACCGTCAAAAAATAGTTACAATTAAAATGCGACACAATGATAGAATCAAACAGTATCAACCATAACCAAAAGTATGTCCATGAGAGTTATTTTAATGACAAAATTGTTATAAGGGGGCGCAAGCCAAAACTATTACCCATGCTATTGT